GAGCAAATACGTCCAATGATTGGCGGGCCAGTCTTACAGAATACGAAATTAGGTTGGATTATTTCCGGCCCAGTGCCACATGCGACTGTTTGTTGTATAGAAACTAGTGTATCGTTATTCACCCGCACGTCATTCGAAACAAAAACACTTGAAGAGCAAATGGCCGCATTTTGGCGGCTCGAAGAAGTAAAGTCCGATGAATTATACACTATAGAAGAGCGTGCGTGTAAACATCATTTTTTAAAAAATGTTCAACGAGATGATGATGGTCGTTTTATTGTTTCGTTACCATTTAAAGTCGAGCTCAAGTTAGGAAATTCGTACGATAGAGCGTTGCGCCGATTTATGGCATTGGAAAGGCGTTTTCAAGCGGATAAAAACCTGAAAGGTGGTTACGTTAAGTTTATGAACGAATATATAGAACTCGGGCATATGTCAATTACGAACTCCGTGCCAGCAGTGGATCAGTGTTATTACTTACCACATCATGCCGTGTTTAAAGATAGTAGTACAAGCACCAAATTGCGTGTAGTGTTCGACGCATCGGCGAAAACGGACACCAACTTTAGTTTAAACGACGTGTTATTAAAAGGGCCATGCATACAAGAGGAATTGGTTTCTATAATGGCACGTTTTAGGACGCACAGGTATGCTATTACAGCGGATATAAAAAAAATGTACAGACAAATTTGGGTCACTGAAAGTCAACGCGATTACCAACGTATTTTGTGGCGAGAAAATCCCGACCAGCCTCTAAATACATATTGTTTGAAAACGGTGACATACGGCGTAATAACCGCATCGTATTTGGCTACAGCGTGCATAAGCAAACTGTCAAGTGATGAAACTCTGCGATTTCCCGAGGCTTGTCGTGCTTTGAAACACGATTTTTACGTCGACGACTTCCTCGGTGGTGCAGGATCGATATCGGAAGCATTAAAGTTACGTGACGATTTAATTTCAGTTTTGCAAAAAGCCGGTATGGAATTATGTAAGTGGTCCAGTAATGACCCTAGATTGTTAGAATACGTTGATACAGCGACAAATGTAAACGCTAATTGCAATTTAATAGACGTTGAAAATACTACGAAAATATTAGGTATGTATTGGAACCAAAATGTTGATGCTTATCAATATACTATACGTCCGTTCGACGAAAATACGCGTATTACGAAGCGAGTAATTTTATCCGAAATAGCATCAGTGTTTGACCCACTCGGCCTAATTAGCCCGGTAATAATTAAGTTCAAGATAATAATGCAACGGCTATGGCAATTAAATACGAGTTGGGATGCTGTGCTACCGTCTAATATCGTGAATGAGTGGAGGGACAACCATCTAAAATTAAGTGATTTAAACTTACTCGTTATCAACAGATCATTAATTGGTGACGGTGAGATAGCCGATATTCAATTACATGGTTTTTCTGACGCGTCCGCGACCGCGTACGGCGCGTGCTTATATTTACGTGTACTAAACACCAACGGTAAATGTATTACGAATTTAATCTGCTCAAAGTCACGTGTTGCCCCGTTAAAAACAGTTTCAATTCCGCGTCTAGAATTACTAGCCGCCGTATTATTGGCACGTCTAGCGTCCAAGTATGAGCCAAACTTGCACCTGCCAATAAAAAAGAGGTTTTTCTGGTCCGACTCGATGGTGGTCTTAGCGTGGATATCATCCCAATCATCTAAATGGAAAACATTCGTGGCTAACAGGGTTGGAGAGATACACGAGCGCACATCAATACACGAATGGTCCCACGTAGGTACTCACGACAACCCAGCGGACATAGTGTCGCGTGGATGTTGGCCTTCGCAGATAAAAAATCTCGAGTTGTGGTGGAACGGCCCGAAATGGCTATCCGATAGCTCGTCTAAGTGGCCGATGAAAGGGACAGAAATAATTACAGGCATTTAGGTAACTACGGAATCGAAAACAGCGTCGTGTGTAGCGGCGATTAATGATCAAGATAGGACATTTTACGATCGATATTCGTCATTAACGAAATTAATACGCGTTGTGGCATATTGTAAGCGTTTCATTCGTAATACACTATCAAAATATGTTGATAAGTATTACGGACCAATACAGGCCAATGAATACGACGTGGCTACGATTTGTATAATAAAGCAGGTTCAGGCAGTATGTTTTGACCGTGAAATATCTGACCTACAAAATTCGCGTGTAGTGCATTGTAAAAGCCCGTTACGACATCTTAAGCCCTTTATAGATGAAAATAATTTAATCCGAGTGGGTGGCCGGCTGAAACATGCATCAACACTAGACGTATTCCAACGACATCCAATTGTGCTACCGTCAAAATGCAACTTTACTAAATTAATATTTTTACGCGAACACGAGATACTGTTACATGGCGGACCACAAGCTATGCTGGCGTCGGTTCGTTTAAAATACTGGCCTTTAAACGGACGAAATATCGCACGTATGATCGCTCATCAGTGCGTAAAATGTTTTAAATATCGTCCTATAGTCATGCAACCTATTATGGGTAACTTGCCAAAGGCGCGTGTCGAACCATCTAGAGCCTTTTCGAAGGTTGGTGTAGATTTTTCGGGACCGTTTCACGTAAAGGTAAGTCTACGTCGAAATGCACCTACGAACAAGGCATATGCTTGCATTTGGGTATGTTTAGCTACCAAAGCGATTCACGTGGAACTAGTTGGCGATCTTACTACGCAATCATTTTTAAACGCGTTACAAAGATTCTGCGATCGGCGTGGATTGTGTACCGATATTTATTCGGACAATGCTACCAATTTCGTGGGCGCCAATCGCCGATTGCAGGAAGTAAAAAAATTATTTCTGTCCAAGGAACATCAAAATAAAGTTAACGATGAAATAGCAAAGCATGGCATACAATGGCACTTTATCCCGCCCCGTTCCCCACATTTTGGTGGTTTGTGGGAGGCGGCAGTAAAATCATTGAAGTCGCATTTATATAAAACGTTGGGTAACGCATCACTCACTTTTGAGGAATTAAATACGGTTTTGGTACGAATTGAGGCGATATTAAATTCCCGTCCTTTAACACCTCTTTCCACCGATCCTTCCGACATGTCTGTTTTAACACCCGGACATTTCCTCATTGGCGATTCTCTGCGCGCGCTGCCTGACAGGGATGAAACAGCCACACCTCCAAGTAATTTGTCGAGGTGGAGAAGAGTCACCCAACTTTCTCAGCATCTTTGGTCTCGATGGAGCCGAGATTATCTTGGTCAGTTACAACGGCGCAATAAATGGTCCAGCTCTCAAGGTCCTGGTATGCAGATAGGAACAGTGGTCTTCATCCGAGACGACAACCTCCCACCACTTCAGTGGTCAATAGGTCGAGTCATTGCAACCCATGTGGGCACCGACAATCACGTGCGTGTAGCGACCGTCAGAACGAGTCGCGGGGATTTTAAACGCGCTGTGCGTAACTTATGTCCGTTACCTTTTACTGGCAATAGTTTGTAACCCATTGCTATATTATGTATATTATTTATTATTGCAATTTATTTGTATTTATTATTGTAATTTATTTGTATCTATATATTATTATCATACTTGTATTTGTTTAGTTCTAGTTAATTATTGTAAATCATTATTGTCATCATAACCTATTGGCTATTATTTATATTTATGTATTTTATTGAAATTTATTATTTCAAGGTGGCCGGTATGTTCGATATGCTCGGCGACTATCTTGGGTACCTGCGATGTACCCAGATAAGCACTCGTCAGTAGTAATACGGACGGCGTAGCGAACATATAGCG